ATGGGTGTATTAATGTAAGGGGGCTGGTATGTTGCTGCTTGCTCGGCAGCCCGCATGAACAGCGCTCTCACGGAGCGAAACAATCAGATCGTCTCTCGGACAAAGGCCCTTTTGATCGCTGTCTGTGTAAACGTCAGATGCAACGAGATTTATGGATAGGCTCCTTGTGGCCAGTTATAACAAATATTAAGATTACTCCGTCATATGGAGATTTGCATCGAAATTGATACCTAACAGAGTTCGAACGTTTATGACATTATGTTCTGTGAGACGCACTGAAAAATAACTTTAAGTATTTGTTTGTAATGAAAGAGAATAATTTACCGTTTAAATAAAGCAAAGTGTGAAACCAACCCATCGAATGACAACTGAACCTTGCACGTTAGGATTCGTTTGTAGATTGATTTTCTTCAACAACACGTTCCTTTACTTTATTGGTGCCTGTTTTAATCGTAGTTCTCATTTCCTTCAGATTACCACAACAATAAAAGTAACAAAAGCATCTTACAAGATTAAAACTCATTTAATTGTTTTTAAATTCCTAACGTTTCGAGCATTTTACAACGTCCATTGTCTCGCTACAATGGTGAGTATTTCCTAATACTACATATTCCTATACATACTTGAACTGGTTTACTGTAATACTTTATGGTTATTTATTTCATTTTTTATTTTATTGTAAAAGACGATGCAGTGATATCCTTTAACAATAAACAAAAAACCTGTTGCACTTTTCTCCATTAGTTAAAGGGCACACTGAATTTCTGTTCAAAATCATAATCATTTCAACCTGTTTAAGTCTACTGCTGAATACAGGCCTCGCCTATAGACTGCCACGAAGTACAATCCTGAACCACCTGCATCCATTTGCACCTATTACCAACATAACTAAAATAATTTACTGCGGAATGACCACATTGTCGACATGTTACATACATAAAAATATAAAGCAACAATATATACGAGTAGGTATACGCTTATATTAATATTTGAGTATATTTAACAAGGTCCAATTTCAATCGACTCATTCATTAAGCGTTTGATTACTACGATGCTGATGCCTGTTGTTATGTGATGTTCGTGGGTGCGTGTCTACGAGCACGCACGCTCGAATACCTCGCACTTACGACACTAGCATTATTGGTCTAATTTCCCTAAGCCGATGTGGCTCCTCTCCGATAACAACGGAAACATAGTTGGATACTCGAGAAACTTTTGGACTATTTTAGACTTAAGTTATACTTCTGCGTTTCGTTTGGTCAGTGTGGTAGCGCATTTGCAACCCTATGGATATTGTCACCTGTATAACCAGTGCGCTTGCCATCTTCTTCCATAACAAAAAATAATAGAGTTTATATATCCGAGGGCAGGAACAGCAATGGCAGTGGCAGTGGCGGCGTTCAAGATTTGTGAATTCAGGTAGGGGGATAGAACCTCAGGGCAGTTCATTGTTCAGGGCGGATCATTATCTTATATATTTTGTGTTCAGAGTAAGATTCTATTGTAGGAATGTACCATGATATTTGCAGATCAATATACTATAATAGCGACCCTAATACATATTAATCTTTCTCTTGAATCACTCTATCTAGTAACAAAAACCGCACAAAAATCCGTTGCGTAGTTTTAAAGATCTAAGCATACATAGGGACAAACAGACAGCGGGACGACTTTGTTTTATAATCGAAACCTCGAAACAGTCCTCGCTGTTGCACAAATGGGCAGGTCCGTCCGGGGAAGTATTACGACATCACAGAAGACCGGCGTGGAGTGGTAGTATTATTATATTATTCTGTGTTTCTAGTTGACTGGGGTAATCTAAGTAAATCTCCTACCCTATCGGGTCTATGGGCGGTGGTTATCACTAAACACCAGGTGCTGACTTGCCGCCACCTTTACACGTAAAAAAGTTTTGAAAATACAAGTTTCTCTAAATAATTTTAATTAATATTTAGTAGCTGATCGCGTTTAATTATTCGATTAGAGCAACCTATAATTTCCGAACATCACGGTGATTATAAAGATTGATGTTAGCGACGGTACTTGACCGCATTGTCATATTGGGAGTATTAGCCGTAACATCTCTCTCCGTCGCATGAATGTCGAGTGATAAGTGGCCTCAGTGCGGCCAATTAGCGACACACTGCCGCCTGAGCGCGACCGTGTTCGTGCAAGTAGCCTTTGTGTCCCGTACGAAATACATAAATCAAGTTAATGGACGCATGATTGGATCCAAATTAAGTTTTGTGTCGGTAATTTCCACCTATTTTCTTATTTTAACGAAATATTAAAAATAAAATTCCTTTCCGTTCAAGGGAATCCATTTCCAAAATACAAAATTAACTGTTTAGCCGTAATCAATGAATTCAAATAGAAACATAACCCCAACCGACTGGGGAGAGTCGGCAGCCCTTTGATGGTTGTCGGCCATATTTGTTTTGGCCCCCGATAGTTCGCACGCGTGAAAAAGCGTGTTGATCGCGGCGCGGGCTTGTTGACGCTCTGTTTGTTATTTCCTCCTGTGTTGTATATACAGTGCACAGTTTAGTGGGCCGCCGGGGCGGGTCTGCTTTGCGTCTCTTGGCGCCGCGCTGTTTATCATTTCCTAACTTTGTACGGGGCAGCTGGTTCCTATTAAACTCTCCGGGCGTAGCGCCGACGCGTAATGAGCACAATCTGCCACAGTTCACCGCCGACGGGACTTTATAGCGCTTTCATTCACAACTCTGCGTGTGCAATGCACAAATGAGCCGGCTGTTGCGTCCAATGCGCAGACGTAACAAAGCGCTTTAAATGTTTACGGGAACGCAATGCTCTTTGTCTTTTTGATGCAGGCCTCCCAATTAGACTTAAATAGCAGCACTTCGCTCTCGTTAGAGTCGCATCCACATTACTTTACACTGTACAATGTTTATTTGTTCAAATGGTAGATCCATTAATCAAACTTTTCTTTTATATTTGTCAAAGCTATTTTTATCGATAAAGCTAACTTTTCTAAAACGAAAATTAAAACATCAAAATTGTTCCACTTTTTACAAATTCCACCAACAGCGGATTCGTGAGTTTTGCCAACTGTTTACTAACATTTCCTCGTATAACATACACATCCTACGTTTCGCTTCCGTGAGAACGTGTACTCTCAAAGCTTTTGTCGCGTCCTTGAAAACGGCTAAACAGCCAGTGTTGTGAGTCAGCAGTGGACCGACGTTCGACCTTGACTGAGCGGACTCCATGACGTCACTGCGTCGGCGATTCGCCCACAAATGAAATTTCAATTGACACCGTAATTGGAATAATGGCTGATCGATTGCGGCATTGAACTATACGTACGTTCGGTGCCGGCGTCCGCTCATGAGCCGTGGGCGTTACAATATTCATCATCACATCATCCAGGGTGTATTGCGTCATTCAACATGGTAGACGGACAGTGCTTGGGAAGTTGTCCGCACTGAACGATAACCAACGTTGTCCTTACTTACCGTCATCATTAAAGGATACGTCGATAACCTTTTTGCGGCGAGACCACGCTTTCCCCGCGTTACTCGTTATGATGCGCCGACCTTCTGACACTGAGGAATTCGTTCATTCGCGTGCCCATCACACTTTATCGCGCCGCTAACATGATTAACATTCAAACAACGGCCTCTTCACAGCTCAATTCTTAGTCGGGCCTTGGTCGTGCACAAAGCGGGTTCGGGTCAAGGGCAAGTTGTAACAAATGCAGTTGTCATTGCCGCTTCCTTGACAAGCTAAAATCTGTAAGAGTTGTACACTGTCTAGTATTACGATACAAAATCTCACAGCAACCTAATGGAGAATGTCAACGTTTTTATATTAATGCAAAAGTTGCACGCATTGGTTCATTAGATTCGTTTGCTTAGAAACAAGTTCTTTTTCATTTAGTAAACTGAACATCGCTAAGGAAATAATTGTGTGCGCGTTTGGTGTATTAACATCTCTAATTGCAATTTGCTTCTAATCATTGTCAGATTCTTGCCAATTTTTTTGAGTAGAAATGTGATACTTAATGTTATTTATTACTTGTATTGAAGACATGGGCTTTCGAGTAGTAACCATTCGTCTATGCTTTTGGTATTTGCATAATGATAAGAGATGTAAGCTTTTCTCATATAAGAGTGAAAATAATGTTTCGAACAACTATAAGAAAACCAATCTTTTTGCAATTATGTGGCTTTTACCTGCTGACCATTACTTTGACTTGGGTAACCAAAAGTTCTATAAAACGAGTGAAATTAAATTTAATAGAAAGATCTAAGACTAGGAATTTTGGGTTGGTAATACAATAAATAAATAATATAAATTTTCGAATTTCCTTTACATAGAAACGCAAATAGATCGTAAACGTGAATGCAATCTAGAGTTATCACGAAACGTGTCAGAACTTGACTTCTGAGCTCGTTTTGTGGTATTGGACCCAAGTGGACGACGAGTATACTTCTGCATTCCACGTCCAGCAGTTATCAGCGACGAGTGCGCTCGTATGACGCGCTATTACATTCCCTCTAACGTCATTTGAATCTATAAACATTTATTTATGCATCGGCCGCTGACAGGCTCGCGTCCTTATTAATTGACGATGCTAAGCGGCATCTGGGCCGTTGAATACTCAGCGCTTATAAATAACTTTATCGCATCAATGTTTTGAATAGTAAGTACTTTTGTTGTGTTGTAAATAATGTAAATAAATCTCATAGCTTTGTGCTGGATTTCTATTTGTGTCGTTAAGTGGCCGCGATGACTGCCACGCCAAGAATTACTTAGATGTCGTAAGTGGATATCAACGGTATGCACGTTAGAGCTCGGTTTAATGATGGTAGTTACCTTGAGTGCGCCTATAAAATTGTACCTTTGTCTTCTCGTGTGCTTAAGGCAAAGGTTTTTTGTATCGTTGAATAAACAGAGGAGAAAAGATGTAACGGGGTATTGGGTGACGATTAGCGAGTGAAAAGTTTTTGTGTCACCATTTGGTGGCCAGATCATTGTTTACTCGTCGATGGTAACGATTTGGTGGGGCAAATGGTGGTGCACGGCGGCGTGTTCAGGGGCACCGTGTCAGTAGGTGGGAGCGCCTTTGTTCGAGAGGCGGCGACACGGAACGTTCCCTCGGCCGCTTGTTGCTCGTAATTACAGGTACAGGTTGTGCGAAGCAACGGTATTGCCATCTCAGGAATTATTAGATAGTCCATGGCTAATGCCTCACGGAAATTAAATGGCACATGGCGCCTGCCCTGAGTCTTAGAAAGCGATTAAAAACCCTTAAATTGTAACCTTGCATAAAAGAAAATACATAAACGTTTTGCAGTTAATCTAATTTGAATTAAAAGTAACAAATGAAACAAAACTTGTGATAATAAAAAATACATATCGTAGATATTGTTTTCTTTCATTTAATATACATATCGTAGTTTATAAAAGTAGCTCCGGCTTTTATTGTTGTAATACTTTGTATTTCTTAAACGAGCCCGCATAACTTAATTTTTAAAGAAGACAACATGTAAGGTAGTAGCAATGAAAGCGTAGTCTAACATATCTTCTGCTCTTCTTACACATTCTATGATTTTTAAAAACATACTGACCAAAAAATCACTATAAGAATATGTACCGAAAATCCGACATTAAATTTATAATTCCAACGGTCTCAAATTATAATATCATACCCAATTAAATTATGAGTTCTTCATTGTAATGCCCACGTCACGTCCATTAATATCCACTACAACCAGAAGAAGCAACGATAGCCCTGATGGCCTGCAGTAAAGTCATCGCTTGTTTTTCATGATATGAAGACCACATAGAGATCTGTTAAAAGTTAGCACTCCTTTCACGTTGCCTTAGTCAAAGTTTGTCAGAAGGCATTGGCATAATTTCATCGAGAAAATAATATTTCGAAGTTTATACAAAAAAAAAATGATCTAAGTTTATTTTTTTTTACATGTTAGGAGGCAAGCAAGCTGGTTTGCCTGATGTTAAGTAACAACCGTCGCCCATGGACTGTTGTAACGTCCGTAGGGATGCAGATGCGTGCCTTTTAATAAAGTGGGCCCCGGTTACACCAGACGAAATATAGAAGTACAACACTTTCACTTTATGCCGGTCTTCTGTGAGGTCGTGGTACTTCTCCGGATGGACCTGCCCATTCGTGCAACAGTGAAGACTATTGCGTGACTCTATAACATTAGTACATTGTTCAGCGGGTGCATCGATAACATCGACAGAAATGAAACAAAAGTCATTAAAAGATTAAATAGAAACATGTTGGATTTCCTTTGTCTCTCAATTTACTACAAACAAACGGGCTTATGTCTTAAAATTACTTGTTGCTATTGCAGAGAATAAATTGGTTTATACCTTAGGCTTAACCTTGTATAAAATATGTAATTTAATCATTCACATACATATTTTATGATAATTTGAAATGTAAAAACACTGGGTCGTATTTATATAGGAGTTGTATTGTACGTAGCAGGGGAACTAGGGCAGGTTAGGTATTTTCGTGATACGAAGATAGACAGGAGAGGTTGCTTAGGGCACTATATGGGAGCCTTCGCTGCCGTGTGAACGAGGGATGCACCGTTAACCAACCCGTCGTTGGGTATTTTATGGTTCAGTGCCAGGATTCATTACTGAACCGAGGTTGGTAAAGTATAAGTAAAGGTTTATTTTTATTAAGGTGCAGCAAACTGAACATTTTCCGGAAACAATTTCTACTCTTGTGATTTAATATTTATGTAGAGTGTTTAAGATGCGCGAGAAAACACATATTTTATTATTAACCAAACAACGAAAATAAATTGTCTATCTTTCATTCTTTTCTGGTTCTGGTGCACATTCAGATATATAAATAATATAATAATAAGCCTTATTTATTATTTCTCATTTTCATGCAGTTTTACATTATATGATTACATGCAAAAGATTATAGCACATTCACATACCTCATTAAAGTATGTGGGGTCTTTGCATATCCAAATTTTTTAAAAGGTTTACGACTCAAGAAGATTGGTTCTTATGTGGCCCAAAGGTTGAGCATAACTATTCTTTTTTTTCTAAGATTATGAATTTCATTTATTTGTTTAATCTAACTGTGGTAAGGCCATGCAACAGTGTTCACGAATGGGCAGGTCCGTTCGGGTTAGTACCATGATTTCACAGAAGACCGGCGTAAAGTAGAAGTGTTATACTTCTGCGTTTCGTCTGGTTAGTGAGGTAGCCGGGGTCCACTTCCTGAAAGGTGGCGACGCATTTGCAACCCTACGGGTGTTGTAAATGTCCATGGGCGGCGGGTATCACTTAACATCAGGTGAACCGCCAGCTCCTTCGGCCTGGCACTTACTGACATAAAAATAAAGAATACGACTATGCGGATTTGAATATGATTTAAATAAAAACAAATATTGCTTATACTTCGAAGCTTAAGCTTTACCTGATAAAAATTAGAGCTGAAAGACCCTCTATGCAGGTGAAAATCTAGTAAGTAACGTTTGGACTCTGCTTGCATTCTCTTGGCAGCATTACATATTCCACGCGCATTGTGCTTTGTGTTGTACAATATTGAATAATGATGTGAAACAGCCGTTAGAGCGCATTGAAATAACAAAAACAGTGCTTGGGCGAGTGGGTCTTATGCAAGCGTCTCATGTATATTAATGAAGCGGTCAGAAGAAAAAACTGCGGCTGGCGGGCGCGAGTGTTAGGATCACGGCAATGGATTCAAACATCGAGTAAACACCTTTGATGTGGCCGTGCGAACGGCAAATGCACAGGAATTAGCACCTTGTAAGGCTCCGGTGCAGGAAGCGACTAAAGTCCGCCGTGTGCATACGAAAAGCCTCATTCCCGTAAGGAATATCATTGCAGCAAATTTAAAAACATCACAACTACCATGTTAAACATTCTCGTGGCAAATAGCGTTTTAACCTAACATCACGTTTTGATGCTTATCGAGGAGACTTGTTTTAGACTTGTTTTATACAAACTACGCTTTGGAATTTGTTCTTCACTGCTGAGAAATTCATTCGAATTAAGATAAGAAGTTGTATTGTTTCCGTTTTCGTTCAAAGAGTATCACTTATCAGTTCATTGCTAATTGAGCAACAGCTCTGTTGACCTCGTCTGCGTTGAGAACTCTTTTCTTGCTGAACCCTGGGAAGTCGAATTGTGGCCCACATTTAGATTTCGCCGGAACGAAGACTTTCGTACGTGCTTGGAGTTAGGTGTCCATTGAAATGACTACGAGAGCGTTGTTGTTGTGTCGATACGACAGATAGCGGTTGATTTACGGCGCGGGTCGAGCGTGTGCGGATGAAAGGGCAAGTTGTCGATAATGCGAGGTGAGTCAGTGATGCGGGTCGACGACCTCCATGTACCAAATACGAAGCTGCTCCGTGCATAAGCTACGGAAATTGGATACGCACATAATCGTCTCCGTTTTCTGTAATAAGCTGAAACTGTTCCAATTCAATGATTGATGTTATTTGTTAGAGTACGGAATAAGAACAATATACCATATAATGTTCAGTAGCAAAAATATGCTGTAGATCAAAACAATTTTAGTAATAGCCTTTGTTGTCTGTTCAAAATTATTTTTATTTAAAACACTGTATGATAACATCATTCGGCGTTATAGTAAAGTTTTTTCCAGACTACACACATAATTATCTGGAGGTTTTATTAAAACTTGTCCGATGCCGTAATGAAACCCACGGTCTTCGTGACTATATCCAAGAGCGTAAGTGTACAAACAATTCCGGCCAACTCAAAGACATGGAAGAGTGGCATTCTCGTGTCCGCTAGTTGTGCTGATCATGCGATGGCCCCATGCACCTGCGCCGCCGCGGCTCGCGTCGAATTCTCCAATGAGTTTGTAATACGTGATGCATATTCTGGGCCGGGAATAGCACGGCGCTCTGGACGAGCTCTCTTGTGAAACATGAACTTATTAAGAGCCGGGGAGTTTTTTAAATCAGTTAGCGAAGCGCACTCTGTAAATATTTCACCCACGCCGACGCCAACGGCCGAGTTTAAACAAATTAAACAAACAGTCAGTGATCAGGCGGCCGCGCGGTTTGTTTGCACAGGTAAAAAGTTGCAATAATACAGTATTTGCTTTGGCTAATATAGGATGGACGTGTGATTGAGATGTTGGTGGAGAGCAAATAATGATAACGCCAGGTTCAAACATTTCAAGATAACAAGCGTTTAGCACTTTTTTATTTCCTCATAAAATTGATCATCATAAAATTAATAACGTGTTTTGTTCACAAAAACAAGAACACATTGAGGACAAGGATGTGTGGAAATGACTCTTGCTCTGCACTTGCCAGTCCCCTGGCTGCTGCTCATTTTATACATAAACAACCTTATTAACTTATGGAATTAAAACAGTTTATAAAATAACAAAACAGCAGAATTTCTTGCCGCTTCTTCTCTGGACAGGTCTAGTGGTAGTTATTCGTTAGACGTTCAATAAGAGCTTGCAATAAGCCTACACTGTATGCAGGAATTTTAACTTTTACTTTCAGAGCTACCAAATTTAATGATTAAATCAAAAATATGCTTTCATACTCATATTAATAAAATTCCTTAAATTTGCTGGTTAATGTAGAACCGCTCAGAGCACCTGCGAGAGGAATCGCGTTGATTTACTCTCGTAAAATTGTGCTTGTACCCATCATTAGCATCGTGATTACAGGGCACTGGAATCTCTGCATCAGCCATAAATTGAAATAATGCGCAGTACTTGACCACAATTGCTAGTTTTAGCAGGAGATCTTTCAGATTTTGCATCGAAATAAGAAATTTTAATAAACTACTCAACGTCAAAAGAAATCACAAAATTGCACCAGAGTAATGCCATACGAAAAATTGTACGTAGCAATTTTTGGTCATATATATAAAACTCTTCTTCACTCAACGTGTATAAATAAAATAAAAACTGGCCAAGTGCGAGTCGGACTCGCGCACTAAGGGTTCCGTTGTATGTAAGACCCTTTTAAATATTTTTTTCTGTTTTTTAGTATTTGTTATTATAGCGGCAACAAAAAAATACATTGTGGTAGCACCACCAGGCACTATGGCATAGAAGAAGCCTACTTGAAAGACAAAACTATGTTTGTATAGGAGTAAATAAACTTTCATGACACTTCTGGTTTATTTTGGAGCAATGTGAAAGTGCGGCTTGTGAACT